TCTTAACCACACATTGTGGCAGCCACCATGGCAGGGGGGTCATTTATGGTCAAGGTCATGGATTACATGAACCTCGCCAACATAGCCGGCTCTGACTTAACTGGCTTTGTCCACCAGCACTCAACACGCTTGCTACAGGGTTTTTTCCACTTATACAATACGTTTCATGTCGGACCATCACTTCGATAGCTGGTTTGAGGTTTCACCACTTATGGCCTTCGCCTCTTTTTGTTATTAAGTTAATAATTCTTGCACAACACGGTTAAACTTTATCTCACAGGCATTCAACACTATATGTATTTCTCCTTCCCAAACAACAAGGGTTCCTAGCCAAGCGGATGTTCCTGCTAAAACTAAATACTGGCCATAGACATACAATGTTCAAGCCAGGTCAGAACCACTCGACGATGCACCTTCCGAGCCACGCACCAATGCAATTATCAAAAACTGCTACCTATCTAGCCTTTAACGGCTTTCTCAGGCCAAAAAAAAATAACTCACTATCAGCGGCCAACATCATAAACAAGACCACTATGTCCGGTCCCTTCCTAAAACTAAGACGAGTCAGATGGGCGAGCCAGTGCATATAACCTACTACCTTAAAAGCAATGCTGGGTGCCCGGTTAAGTTACTGGTTACGTTCTTGGGCACGCCACCATACGCACCACTGAACCATTATGGTCACTGTACAATACTGTCCTTACCACAGGTAAGTTCATGCACTATGTCCACCTACTCATTCACCGGGATCGAACTAAAACCTAGCGACTACTCAGGGCACTCCTTTTAGGATAGGAGCACCTCCACCACCTATAGCCAAGACATCCTAGCACACGTTAAGACACGGGGCCGCTGGGAATCATAGGCTTATGCTACTTACATACCACAGCCGATTCAGGAATTAGGACGCTTTCATTAAAATGTCTACCTGCTGGTTAACAAATGCACTATGATCCTGTATAATGTTTTGCATTAATATGCATTTTTTTTTTTTTATATATTCTTTATTTTTGTTGTGCATAAGCTTTTAACAGTCGGTTGTGAGGTACCCCAACGGCATTCCTCCAATGCATTGTAGACAGTTTAACAGAGGGGTACATGCAATATCTAGCACAAATTTTGTGTTTAAAGGTAGTTGAGTATTAACATGGTAGGAAACAAGCTTAGTTAACATTATACTGTGTATCGCTATTGTATTCAGTCATCTGAGTGCATATCTACTGAGTGTATGAATAAAGTTAAGCTAAATGCTATGCTGGGATGCACAATGTGTAAACATGCTAGTTCTAAACAATCTTCTATAAGAGTGATTCGAGTAAAAAACAATAAAGGGTCTCATGGCCAAGTTTTGCTCATAACAGTGAGTAGATTCGTTGTGCTATCTAGCCAAAAGAGTATTATGCTGCGTAACAGCTAACTAGGCATTAGGTTAGGACCCACTAACTTGCATTCATATGTTGATGGTAATAGGGGAGCTTAATCTGCGTGGTGTGTGCAGTGGTTGTTAATGCATCATTAGGTAGCTATTATGCTGGTCAGGGGTGTTCCAGGCTAAGTTATAAAATAAAAAGGGGGTCAGTTGTTATCCCATCAGACCTGCACCTCCCTGGCAGCATTAGAAACCTATGTAGGCCGCTATAAGGCATCACATAACTAATTAAATTTATGTAAGAATAATGGTGAATGCAATCAGATAGGTTAACAAATAATAAGACAGCTTATGTGAGACCAAAAGAAAGGGGGGAAACTTAGGCATCAACCTTGGGACATATAATATGTAATCTGATGTTTTAAAATAAACGGGTAGCTATGGTATTCTCTGCGTGTAAAAGGGTACCTGGGCAACATAAAAAGTTTCAAGTCCACCAGAGTGCCTGCGCCTCGGCCCCTGTTTTGAGTGGTCATCTCCCAGGCTTGTAATCTGCCGGTTAGCCGGGAGCTGTATTGTTCAGTGCCCCGATCACAGTCAGCCGACTCCCATGTCTGGGAAACGGAAACCCCGGTAGTGGGGGTATATGGAGGCTTGCCAGGTGCGCCGATGGTGAGGGTAGGACTGGTACCCCATCAAAGCTCCGTCTCCGATGATCCTTGTCTGGGTTCTCTGCCTGTTACGCTTGTTGGTAGCCCGCTTTGCTGCATCTCGGTCATCCTCGCAGCAGGCACCCCGAGTTTTCCTGTGTTGGGTTGCACTCTGCTGGTCGGAGGTTGTCGGGGCCATTGTGTGCAGAGCAGGTTGTGCATGTTGGCGGGTCCCGCTCTGGTTTGTGGGAGCGTGGGTGCTGGCGTCCGAGGTTTCCCGCCCTTGCGGTGGTCGTTGCATGCTTGGTCGGATGGCTGCCCTGAAGGTTTGTAGTGGGAGTCCATAATGGCGG